GCTGTAATGAGAAAACCACACACATAACAAACTAAAACCAAATTAAACATGTACCATGTCATTCCTCTCTTCTAATAAGTAACACCAAGCAGATCCCTGTGGGGGCTGGTGGCTGTCACTTCTCTTTTTTTCACCTCAGCCTTTTACCCTTGGATTGCTTGTCCTTGTGGAGTGGGAACAGCTGAGGAGGTGATGAGAGAAGCTGCGTGGGCTGGTGGGCACAGCACCAGTTGGGAAGCCACAGGTTTGCCATGAAGTCACCACTGTCTTCTGACAGTCATTTCAAGTTCTGTAAGACATAGAGAGGCAAGGCAGGGCCACTTCAGGAGATAAAGATGGATATATTTGACTGTATCTGTGCTTTACATAACCTCTTCAGAGAATGAATTTAGCATGAATAAACAGTAAACCAAGATTTTTTTTTCCAGCAAGCTGGCATCTACCTACTCAAAATCCTCCACAGTTTCCTATGGGAGTAGATCCCCTTTCACACTTCCTCCAAAAATATAGCAGGAAGCTATTCTGTGATTTGTGCCTGCCTGTAGGAAATTAGCTTGTGACATCTCAATGAGAGCCCTCGTGGCAAAATGTGAAGCTAATTATTTTAGATGTCTTTCTAAGTTGTTTAACTTACCCACTCTCTTGCCCAGGTACTCACATGTGCCTGAATGGCCTAGCCAGGATCTGTGTGGGTGTGACATGAAGCATGAGGGAGGACCTCTGTTAACTCTTCACTATGTATCTTGGGTTCTTCTTGACTGGTGATGGCAAACTGTGTTTGAACAGGTCTTGTCTGTGCTTTAGGAGTCAACAGCTGTAACAAAGTGATCGTTGTGCTTCAGAAAATTGCCTGCTTCAGCCTCCAAGAGCTTATCAGCCTCCAGGAGTCCTAGGCAAGGCTGTCTCTGTTTTCCTGTTTGTTCATTTTGGGTATCTGCATGACAACAAATCTACCTCTGCTGGATAATGGGAAGAGAAATAACAAATACACTGTGCTATAACTCTTTTGGTCATTCTCTTGCTACCAGAGCTCAGGGCTTCTGCTGATTAATAGTCTATGCTGTGTCCCTATCCAAATTAGTCTTGATGCCAACAACACCCTCCTCAGGGTTTGCCAGTTTCGGGGCTATCAATGAATATCATTATAGCCCATCCCTACAACCCTTGCTCTATTATTTTTTTCTGCTGCTTTCATGCTGTGATTCATATTTCACTGAGAGTAGTCCTAGTATTTGTGCTACGAATCTCTACCTGTTGGCCAGCAAACCCTGTTAGCTCCTGTTAGCTCCCTGTTAGCATGGGGCTCCATGGTCATACTTGGGCTTACAGAGTTTTATGCAAGTTGCCCAGACTCTGCAATACTTGCCCTCTCACAACAGTCAGATTTGTCACCTGGAAATCTCCCTTCTCCTCTGCCCACCACCAGCCTGGCTCGTCACAGGCAAGGTGAACAATTTTAGCCTGTCCTTCCATGTTTGAATAAGGGATTGCTCTTTCCAGGCCTTAAAATAGGGAGAGACTTTTAACAGATTTGAAAATGGAACTTAGGACCCTAAGTCATCACACATTTTTTGAAAGACGTGCTCTGCATCCATATCATGTTACAGCTCAGCTGCAGGACTTTTCTTAGGCTATCTGAAAGTGGATCCCTACTGCTGTGTTCCAAAGGGGGGTTATTTTAATATTGTACTAAAATACTGACAATGAAAGCTTGTTACTTTAATTAGGCAGTAAGCACTGTCATCCTGGGCCTTAAGATTTTGAGTAAGCAGAGTTGATTGCTGAAGAAAATTTTTACCAATTTGGAGTTCACAGGATTAATTTTTCTGCAAATGCTACTGGTGTCTCCCTTGATGCCTTCCAATTTTCTCTGGGCACATGAAGCCAGGACAACATGCTATCTGAAAATCAAAAAGTTACAGTGTGTTTTCTGGAAACAGCTACTTCATGGGCCAAGAGGAAAGTTGAAGCAGAATGAGGCATCTTTTTGAGGAAACAAAGCTTGCCTAATTGAATCAGAAGCTCCAAAATTTATGTGGCAATTCATCTCCAGACCGGCTGCTAATACACAGAAACTCATAGAATCATTGATGTTGGAAAATACCTCCAAGATCATCGAGTCCAACCTGTGAAAGCAACCTGTTGGCCACAGATCAAACTACAGAATGGTTCCAGGCTCATTTCAGCTTTGATGCAGAACTGATGAGTAGTACAAGACTGCAGCTTCATCTTGCAGCTACACACCACTTGGTCTTAGGCCAGGTACCAAGAGTCCTGGTCTTGTGAGGGCCAGATGTCCCAGTGAAATCACAATGTTTAGCTATTTGGTTTGGTTTTCACCTCGAGCAAGAGAAGTCCTGATTTTTGCAAGCAAGGAATCTGGCCCAGCCTTTCCATACAGTGTGCTGTCAGGTCTACTTGCTCAGCAG